TCCCAACCACCTTTGAGATGGAAGTTTTCTTTGTTTTACATATGAAAATGAAGAGACTCAGAGTTTACATCCTTTGCTGGTACAGCTAATGAGATTCTATACCAAGATTCAACTGACCCCAAATGTCATGCACTTTCCACCATAAGAGTATAGGAATGTTTTCGAGAAAAAATGATCAGAGGGAAGCAGAAGAAAAGTTTTGAGCTCAACTAAACCTGTAGGTTTTCCTGGGTTTGTTTTCTAATAGACATGATAATGATTTCCCAAGAGAATCAAGAAAATAGATCATCTATTAAGTTAAGATAAAGTGATTTAACTAAGATCACATAATCAGTTGATGAGAAAACCATATTTTAGTCTTCCCATGTACTCAGTGTATTTTTTACCATGCAATTTACACTTTTTTTCTCATCAACATTATTAAATTTCTTAATCTCAGATGCTAACTTATTTCCTACCATGGGTCCACTGAGAAGATTTAAAGAGAATGCATTATTTTTTTTCAATTTTCTTATATGAATAACATTATTGTTAAAATTCTGGTATCATTTCTAAAAGATTCTTACTATCTATGAATTTATTTAGTGAGTTTATCAAGTAAGCATTTATTCCTTTAAAAAATTAAATCTTCAGCTCTTTGAAATGCTGAGTAACTGCTAATGTATTAGATAAACAGAAATGTAGTTATAATTAACTATAAATTTTAATTTTAGAATTTATGCAGGTATGTGCATTAAATGTGATGAAGTAATAAAGAATTAGCTACTATTCTAATGCATTGATTTGATTATTCTTTTAAGAAAATACTATTACTTTAGTTTGTTGATAATTTGAAGACTAAATTTATGAAAATCTAAATGATTTTCTGACATTTTGTATAGAATATGTTCAATAAGCTTCACAGTGATAATTCAAAGATAAAGTTCTTGGCCACATGAGATTATTTTTATGATCATTCGTTACCTGTTCTTTGCCCATTTTTCTTTCTTTATTGTTTATTTCCTTTTTCCATTTTGGTAAGTGATAAAAAATAAAACCAAAAAAAATCTTTAAAGTCTATCACTAATTAGGTTATTTCATAATTTTCATCACAACAATCTAGATTTCTTAAACATACTATCATAATATTTTTAGTGATACTACAGAAATCTATAAAGACCACATATTCAAAAATTGCATTTAAAAATCATAGTCACTTTTAAAACTCCAAGAAAGAAAACAAGCAATGAAATGTTGCTTAACTGAGATTTCCTGAAGACGTCCATGAACAGAATCTAAGCTTTGGACTAATCTTCACAGCATTTTCAGGACAATTCCATGGATTAGTCTAAGTTGTCTACACTTCTCTCCATCCTCACTTGCCCTAAAACAAATCTAATGCTTTCAATATGTATTGTTATATTTTCAGTTTTAAAGTCCATTTAATCCTATGAGTTTCCTTATTGATATAACTAATAATACCATTCTTCCTTTACAGACCAGAAAATGATGACACAAAAGCAGTGACTGATCCATTTATGGTCAAAATCAAGGTAATTAAAATGAACTCAAGTCATGCTGACCTTGGCTTGACTATTTAGTGTAAAACATGGTGTCAATTTTGAGTAATAAATATGTTTAAACCAGTCCTACCTGCATTCTATTATCGATTCAATTAAAAGATACATGAAAATTGATGCTGAGTTAACAGGGAAATATTCTTTAGTTCTTAAATATAAAGGACATACCCACCATACAGTAATCAGCAGGGGATTTTTCAATGATTGAAGGAATTAATGCTATCAGAGGTTATTTATAATAATTCAAAGATACCGCACTCAGATTTCCAAAATGCTCTCAAAAGCATCATATCATACTTTCCAACCTTTCATAGAGTAGACATCCATTCATTCATTCCACAGATATTTAGGTGTCAGTCATACATAAAGCATTTTACCTTAACTGGTAGGTGAAATATCCTCTTTTAGGGAAGAAAAATTAAGTTTTAGTGGGTTGAATGACTTGTCCAAGATCTAATGACAAGCAGTTCAAGAATCTTGATCTTTTAACTGTTAAACAGTGTTTGCTCTGCTACATCATGATGCATAACATATTTTATACTGCAGTGTGTTCGTTCTTTCAACACATGCCAAGTAAAACTCATTCTCCTAAGCCAAACAGAAAGAATATACTAAATAAGAGATCTCTTTCCATTTAAGTGCTATTCTATAATTCACTGTACAGGGTCCTGGAGAGGTGGAGATGACTATATAAATAATTTCTGACTTACAATATGCTTTTCTTCACGAGTGGCTTTTGCCATGCTTGTTAGAATTGGATGAATAAGTGGCTGCTTGCCTGGAATTTATATCTTTTAAGTGGTACAAAAATAAAAATCAATTACCAGGGGCCTTCTTAAGTTCCAATAATAATCATCTAATACTTCTAATGTGTTTTGATAAATACGTATATAACTTGTTTCACACTCAAGCAGCAATTCCAAAGGCAAACTAAGGATATTTAAATCCAATATGATATCATGGTATCAGTAATTGCATTAGGATAGCAAGTTAATATTTAGATGGCCTACAGAAAAAGTTTACCAAGAAGTAGTTTTAGAGTAATTCATAATTTAAAGACTGAGGGCAGAACTCCTTGTCTGACTCTCAACTATTTCTTATTAAAAGAAGGAAAGCAATTAAACAGATTCCAGGGCTCACTGTGAATTATCTTCTGTCCTAAATACACTTTACATTTTTGTGATTATGCAGTCTTATTTCACTTTTATCTTTTGAATCTTAAATCTAAGCAACAGACAACAATACTTATCCCTACCGACCCCCTCTTATCCCCAAGGAGACAGGATGTTGAATTACTCTGTCTGGTACTGGCCAAACCGCATGCATCTTTTTTCTGTTACAGACCAAAATAACTATCAAAACAGCTTACTTTAATAAAATATGGATATCCTGAAATAAACTATTGATTTCTGTTTAAAGACAGGTGACTCTGTACAAAAGAAGGTTTGATTTATTAGCTCACCAACTCTTTTTTTTTTTTGAGTAGAAGACAGTTAGATAATAGCATGTAGGTAGGCATTAAGTTGGTCTGCAAAAGTCTATCTCACTGTAATGACATTTCCCCAAGAATACGGATTGATATAAGCTCCCATGCACATTGCCTGAGCTTAGATGGGTGAATTTGAGTTATTTATTTCTTTGACTAAATCTCCAGAGAAATTAGGCAAAGGTAACTTTTATTTTGTGCAGTTCAGCCACATATAGGACAAGCCTGCCCCCTCTACCACTAAGAAGGTATTGCGGCCACAAACCAACAGCCATGCTTCCTGAAATATATTCTCTGCTTTCTTTTTATGCTCTGCCAACCAGGGGAGTCTCTATGTCAGTTAATTGAAAACCACAATAAAAATCGAACAATATGTTGTGATTCTCTTAAAACATGATTAATCATTCCACGTAGTAATTTCACTTCCACGTCTCTCAGATTGGAAAAAAAAATCAGGTTTTGTTAGAAGCACATTTTAGGTCTCTTGGGAAGGAATCCACACCAATGATACATTTTCTTTTCCTCAGATTATCATTTCTGACCTATATAGGACAAAATAGCCCTCAAGGAGCTCAATGACATAGATGCCTCTGCTCCCTTTCTCCCAAGCAGGCGGGTTCATGGTAAGCAGTAAGTGACAGCTAAGAATGATTTTTCCTCAGAGGGTTACTGCCACTCTGAGCCAATGGAAAACAATAAATACCATCTTAACTGCCTCAGTTGATTTCTGTGTTGAAACTGAGGAGTGTAGGTATGGATATGTATTAGAGGCATTTTACATCAGTTATATATGAACTATGAAATTAAAAGGGAAACCTAAAGAACTATATTTTTTAAAGGGACAAACTATTTCTACAGTGTTAGGCATGCATATAGCATCCCCAGTATTTACATGACTGTAGAAGTCCATACTTCCAAGTCAACACTTTCCACTGAATTGAATGTTCTCATTGGAATTGATCAATCTCTTAGTGAGATGTCAGGCATACACTATAAATTTGTGTAACTGCCTTTACCCAGTGAACCCTTTTTATTAAAGCAGAATGCTTATCAAGGTCACTGTGAAAGATTGTACTTGAAAGCTCCAGGGGAAGACTCTAGAAGTAAGAATCAACAGAAGACAGATTTAATTAACACTTTAAAGTTTATGGTTTGTCAAGGGCCTATTGGCCTATAGCTTTTTGGATTTCATTAACAAATGCATCTTGTAGAACGAAGAAGTCAGAATGATATCAAAAGCCAGCTCTCCTAAAAAGGGACTCTAAAGCTTCTCATTTTCTCCCTTCTGGCAGATCTGGTTTGAGTAAGCAGTCTTAAGATTTAAAAGGCTGGAAAGACTATGCTAAGTAAACATGTGTGTATTTCTTTAGGTAAGATTCTACAGGTGTAAGTATACTCAGGGTCTGGGGAAGAGAGAAGGATCAAGCGTGTATGTATGCAAGTGTTTGTTCTTATGCACGATTTGGCAAATTATAATCATATAAAATATAATAAAAAAAGGTTGCTAAACCATCTCTACTTGTAACTTTGGGTCTTGAATACCACATAACACAGACAAGATCACTTTAAAGTGCATGTATAAGAAAAAAAACCCTTTTACAAAATGCCAGATTATACTAGTTTTGAAAAAAAAAGACACATACAAATACAAAAAAAGATATTAGATCATCAGTAAGTAAAATACCCAACCAAGAGTTTACTATAATCATATAAGGTAATACACATTATTTTTAATATTCTTGTCACATAAGAGGCTTCAGAGAAGTAAAATATCCTATTTTGTGAGACAAGAGGTTTCCTAAGATCATGCTGCAGGAACAATCATTTAAAAATAAAATTATTTACTCCTTAATCCACAAGGCAAGATCATACTCATTGCAATCTTTCTGCTAAAACCTTTATTTAAAAAGTCATTAGAGTCGTAAATAAATAGAAGTAACAGTATTATCACTTACCAGCCAAGTAAAGGAATTAGAAGTCGTTCAGTTTCTCTAACGTGGGGATGTGAGTAGATCCGAAATCTCTTCTCACAAAGCTATTTCCAAAATAGTTGCAACCCTCTGGCGAGCATTCTGTTTATTTCATGAAGTGTGGGCCTTTGAGTATTTCAACCCCTTGTGCAGAGCCCATGGTTTTCCGGAGCCTCTAAGAACTTCAACTTCACTCTCCAGCCTGCATTCCTCCCAACACCCTACGGAGATTAATTCTTGAAGTTGTTGCTCAGAGTTTAATCTGTGGAACAAGAGGACTCCTCAGAGCCCTGTATGGTAGTTATAGCAGGTGCATAAAGAGGGTTTTCGTCTATCAAGGAAAGGGGTGGGGGGCAAGGGGTGTCAGGCGGCACCTCCTAGCTGCAAAGAGCAGGGAGCCCAGATGCCCGTGGCGACGGCAGTGGCGGCGACCGCAGCTCCGCTGTGTCCGGGCGGCAGCAGCCCAGGCCGGAGACGCTGTCCATCCCCCCCGGTGCTGAAGCGCACGGACTGGAACCCAGCCCGTCCCCAGAGTCGCGCTTCCTCCACCAGCGACCGCACAGGGCTTCCTCGTCTTCCAGTCTCACCTTCTCTCCTCTGGCGTTTTATATTTTGGCAGAGGGGTTAACTGCTTCTCAAAAATAAAGCTCTCATACTTATTTAGTGGCAACGTCTCCGGGCATCGTCTGACATTAGAGGAAGGAATCCGTCAGAGATCAGATTTGAGCCTCTCCTGACTTTTCAGTTCAGTTCATCCCTGAACGAGTTTCCTAATGTAGAAATAAAAGGAAAAAACGCACGCACCAGCGCGCGCATACACGCGCACGAGGAAGGGGGGGGGTGAGGAAGGGAGGGGGAAGAGAGGGAATGTGAATAAATATAGATGATGTATCGTGGAAAATCCAGAGTTTCTTTTGGTCTCTGATTACAGAAAATGGAAAGGGTTATTTTGAACGACTCCACAATCTTGATTAACCAATTAGGGCGACCACACTTAAATTCTGAAAAGCCCCATTTGAAATCCCTGGGTTAGACACAGTAAAGAGGTCGTGGGTTCTTCTTGGACCCTCCAAGAAGAAACGACAGGTTAGTTAAAAATAAATAAATAAATAAATAAATAAAAAGAGAGAACGAGGCGGGGGGTGAGGGGGAAGAAAAAGAAGAAAAAGGGGAGAAAAAGCATCTCGTCTTTGCTACCTTTTAAAACGCTGCTGAATTGGCTCGGAATCGTTGCAGAGCAGCTAAAGAGGATCAGCCGGACGCGGTTGGCGCGAGCATCAGTGCTCCCGCAGCCTGGAGAAGTCGGGAGCCGCGGGAGGTTGCATGCCCAGGGCAGGGCTCGAGAGCCGCCCACGGCCCAGGCTCCCGCAGCGGAGCGGGAAGAGCCTAATTCCGCAAAGGATAGAGTAAGAAATGCACAAAGTCAGCGGGCGGGCTCGACCCTCTCCGCCCCTTTGGAGCCAGGACAATGCCCACCCCGCCGGGCTGCTGCCCGGGTTTTCAGCGCGTTTCCCCTCCGCGCCCACGCGGCCCCCTAGTCCCTCTGGTCCAGTCTCCCCAGGCCCTCCAGGCCCTCCGCTCTGGCTCTGTACAGCGCCCCCGCCCCTGCCCGTCCTACCCGCTGTTAACAACCGGCTGATGACAAGCGTAAGGAAGGGTTTGCGTGGGTGGTCCCCAGGGCGGTCACCGGGGGCTCCGCCACCCACACTGCGCACCGGGTGCAGAGGCGAGTGCTGTGGGCTGGGGGACTGAAATACAGAACGTCGAAACTGTTGGAAAACTGGCCAAAATCTCATCCACGAATTGGGACTCTCCCTGGAAGAGGGAGAATGTGGTGCAACACAGCCCACCCACCCCTTCAGGCTCTGGACTTAATGCAGTGAAGGTCTCAGCGCCAGGAGGCTGTTGGTAGACTTAGGAGGAAATTAGGGAAAGAATTACTGGGGGAGGGGGGGGCGGAGCGAGACACTAGTTCTCTAGGGAGGTGGGAGAGGGGCTGTCGCCTGTCCCTGGCCTCCCTTCCTTGAATCCTTTTTGCTCCGATTCTGGCAGCACCCAGGAAGTCATAAAGGCTGCGTCTTCCTCCTGCGCTTCCATTTCGCATTAGCTGGTGGGTCTGCGGCGGTCCTCGCCCTCGCCGGGTGGGCCGGTCCTCGCCTGCGGAGGTGACGCGCTCGGCTAGGCCCTGGCGGGGGACCGCGAGGTGTTCCTCGGGAGCGGAAACGCCTTTGATCGGGGACCACTTGGGGATGAAAAGCAGACTGACAGGCCATTTATTCACACGACAAGGCCGTGGTTTTGTTGGACTCGCACTGTTTGGCTGCGCAGCGCTACCGTCCTTCCCCCGGGGCTACTCGGGCTGGGGCTGGGGCTCGGGGCTCGGGGCTCCGGCTGGGGCTGGGGCTGGGGCTCGGGCTGGGGCTGGGGCTGGGGCTGGGGCAGGGGCTGGGGCTGGGGCTCGGGCTGGGGCAGGGGCTGGGGCTCGGGCTGGGGCTGGGGCTGGGGCTCGGGCTGGGGCAGGAGCTGGGGCTCTCGGGCTGGGGCTGGGGCTGGGGCTCGGGCTGGGGCAGGGGCTGGGGCTGGGGCTGGGGCAGGAGCTGGGGCTCGGGCTCGGGCTGGGGCTCGGGCTGGGGCTGGGGCTGGGGCAGGAGCTGGGGCCGGGGCCGGGGCCGGGGCCGGGGCCGGGGCTCCCGCGGCAGGAGGCGGTGGGCACGGCTGGGCGACTGCAGGCCGCCGACGCTGTGTGCAGCTGCGCACGGAGGAGACGCGCGGCCGAAGCAAGCCCAGGGCCAGCTTACTCCCACAGGCCGGGGAAAACGTGCGAGTGTGCGCAGCCCTGCCCCCGCCGTGCCCGATGAAGCATTTCGGTGTCACTCACATGCACAGACCCACCCGGAATGTTTGCTACTTGCGGCCAGCTGGGAAGGGTGCGTTTTGCTTTGCCATCCGTGTGAAAGTAGGTGGATTTCTCAGGATTGTGGTGGATGAAATGTTCCTTTTCCTTAAACGAATGCAGAGGAACACCTGCTTCTTTTGTCTGCACAAACGAGTATGTGCCATCCGTACAAGGAAGTTTCAGAAAGTGCTGTTTTTTTGTCATAAGACGAAAATCAGCTTTGTTGTGTCAGAGCTGACTCCTCAGGTGCCCCCTCTCCCTGTCAGTGAAGAGGCATCTCCCCGCAGTATTTGATTCTGCGCTTATTCCAGTTGACTCAATTGTCGGAATCATTTTCTCCAGACTTGTAAAAGCAAGAATAATTGCAGAAATTTAACACACCAAATAAGAGCATTGAAATGAGTCCCAGAGTACAAAGATGCTACTAATTAAAAACATATGCACTTGATTATTGAGACCTAGAGGAACAGATTCTCTAAGCATTGATTGACAGTAATGCAGAGTCTCTCTGTCTCTCCCTCTCTGTCTCTCTCCTCCTCCCTCTCTCTTTGCCAGGAAGAGAGAGAGAGAGAGAGAGAAAAGCATTTGATTAATTTGAACTGTCAGTCCCAGTAAGATTATGTTAGTTTGATGTCTTTTTTTAAAGAACCAAAATCCACTCCATATTTTTCTTCAGCAAGTTGTGTGACCAGTGATAGAAATTAAAATGATGAAAACTAAATGCTGTCTAACGTCTGATGCTACAGATAAATAAAGTATGACGAAAACCGAGGTGCAGATATGCTGGAGATCAATCAAATAAATGTTTTAAGAAATGTCACCCTTGGAGCAGATGTTTTTTTAAAAATTTTAATGTAAAATTTTATTATTTTAAGTTATTATTTTTAAATGTAAACCTAGGGGCTCCTGGGTGGTTGAGTAGGTTAAGGGTTTGCCTTCCCCTCGGGTCATGATCCCAGGGTCCTGGGATTTAGCCCCCTCTTGGGGATCCCTGATCCTCAGGGAGTCTGCTTCTTCCTCTCTCTCTCTCTCTCTCTCTGTCTCTCTCTGCACCTCCCCCTGTTCCTCTTGTTTCGCTAATAAATAAAATCTTTAAATTGTTTTTAATTCAAAAATGTAAAATAGTAAAATATGAATATGAAACATCAGAACCATACAGTATATGAAGCATTACACTCACAAGAAAATTTAATACTTTAGAATGGTTACCAGATCATTCAATTTCTCTGTTTCTAAAATTAGAATACAATCCCCACCCAGCCCATCCCTCACAGTATAGGAAATCTTGGACAACATTAGCTTGTGGAACATTTTGAAAATAATTTGAGGTCCTTTGAAGGGGAGAGTTTGAAATGTAAAGCAAAATCTACATGCAATATGATCTAGAGTAATGATCATTATATATGAAACTCTGACCTTCTGTATAATTTACATAAGCCTCCTATTTTGAACGACCTTGACATCATATGTAAAATGGTGATAATAAAATTCATGTGAATCTGATTGAATTGTCATATACCCAAAAAAGTCCTGTATGTAAAATCTTAATACCTTTGTATCTTTCTATAAAAAATACATAATATTATTGATGGAGTATCCCTTGATCACTATTTCTATGCCTTAATTTCAAGACTGGATAGATAACTTGGGTGTTCTGGTTTTTACTAACATATTTTTCTCACTATTTCTGTGTTATATTTATGTTTCCTTTTAGAGATAACCCAATACCCACATCTGACTCTTTCAATCAATGGCTTCAATATCTCATTATTGAGATTATTGAGCTGATATTTTCTTGTGGTCAAGTACAACGAGGTATTATCTATCTATTGCCAATTATTTCTGAATCGGATCCTACTTAAAATTGTTCTTTTATATGTTTCCTAATAGTATGTTAAGTTTGTTGGGGGGAAAAAAGATTCCAAAATGTAGAAAACATTGCTAAGAGAGTCCTTCAAAACAGGGTCAGGAGGATATTGAGGAGGCAGGACTATGCAGGTCTTCTGTTTCAATTCTTGGAATAGCATGAGATTCTGATTTTTGTCATTTGCAACTGGACCACCTTCAGCTAAGGTTTTCTAATTTGCTGAATTATAATCAGGTAAATCTAGAGGACTTTGTGTTTGTTTTTGTATTACTTGAGTTCAATTGACTTCAGTTACAGGAAAAAGGTGGATGGGATTGCAGAACTCCAATGACTTCAAAGTAGCTGAAGTACAA